TTTTTTTTTTTAGATGGCCATTATGCATTGCCCATTAGCAATGACATTGTATATAAAATATTGTCAAAATCATAATCGGGAAACATTACGCGATATTTATAATCAATATGATGATTATTATTCTCAAGCACTTTGGTTTATTAAGGAAAGTTATCAGGTAAAAAATTACCGGTTATATCTTATAGTACGTGCTACGTTAATTATTTAAGAACACATATTAATTTTTATATTAAGAATTCTACTTCAAGGGATGCAATGTTACAATCTGCATTAGATCATTTTAAATTGAGCAAGCACGATGCAAATTCGTGCTTGATAGACGAACAGATAAAATTATTAAGGTATCAACGTTCCTTGGAAGAAACTTTACACGAATCTGTAGTTGGAAAACCACTTCATGATACAGTAAAAGTTTTACTTTTACACAATGAAATTAAATTAGCTGATAAATTAAGATCAGAATATAAGTTTCCAGACCGAAGGTATGTAATTTTTCGAAATGCTTAGTAACTCACCATATTTTATATATTCGAAACAACTTTAAAGTTTTACTTTTGGAACTCATATTTATTTAAAACATTTTGTTTATTTTTTATATTAAATAATTCAGTATTAATGATAAAAGGTAATTTTTAAATACATATGAATACTTATCATATAGATAAAAATTGATAATTTATTTAAAAATCCATCTTTATTATGACATTAATTAAATACTTTTATAAATTGTTTATTTGTTTGAATGAAAATAGATACTGGTGGTTACGAATACAATGTTTGGCTGAGCAAGGATTATGGAATGAGTTAGAAAAATTTTCCAAATACAAAAAATCTCCAATTGGATATGAGGTACATAGTATAGTTACTTAATTTATAAGTAATACATTTTCATCTATAAAAATTAAAAAAAAATTGAAATAAACTTTAATATACAGCCTTTCATGGACCAGTGTTTGAAATATAAAAAAGAATTAGAGGCAAAAAAATATCTTCCTCGGATTAAGGATGAATTGAAAGTTAAATATTTTGTGAAACTGGAGTATGTATTCACACGTATACACACACACTCATATTGCACATTAAAATTACTAATAAAATAATATTTTAGTATGTTACTAGAAGCTGCTCAAACTGCCTTAGAGCATAAAGATTTAGCTGCTATTACTTTTGTATTAGCCCGATGTAATAATAGAAGATTGCAAGAAAAAATCGGTGCTATGGTAGCAAGTCTTAGAAATGGAAAGTGAATTTAATTTTGAAATAAAAATTTTGGTTCAGTTAAATTTTAATTTAAATTTATTAATATAATGTAAATAATTATTAGTTTCTTTAATACATATTAAATAGATTTATTTTATAATTTTTATATGCATAAATATATGTAATTAATATTAAAATATATACAATATCATAAAAGTACCCTATAAATGTTTTCTAAATTTTTTAACTTCTGTTAAAAATAAATAAAAAATATCTATATCTTATTATATATCCATATATTCCTTTATAATGAATTGATTACCTCATTTTGGTTCTTTTTCTTGAAAAAATAAAATATTTTGTTCTATCGTTAAATTGTAAAAATATATTAACATATTTCATATCACTAGTCAAGTTTTTGAGATCTCATCCAAATTTCGTGTTTTTCTATGAGATTTTGGACTATGAACTTTTCTATTTCTTCTCCATTTTGTATTTGTTCATTTGTAAGCGATAAGATATAGTCGTTTTCTTGACTAACAAAAACAACTTGTTGTTTACGTGTCTGTAATATATTTGCTATCACTAACTGTAATAAAAGAAATGAGACATAGTGTAAATGAAAACTGTTAAATATTATACTATGTATCGCGAATGTATATGTTTGACTACATACATTGTGATTATATTTTGTTAATGCTTCACGAGCTTTAGAAATGAGAATATTTTCATCGGTTTCAAGTTTAAATGATACAACAAAAGCCTTAGAAACCCAAAGATTGACAAGAGGCTCTAATACTTTAGGAACTAGTTGTAAATGAATGGATGGAGCTCCACTTGAAGAAATTTTATGTAAAGCCTGAAACCTTCATATGAATATTTGACACTTATTTTTATATTATTATTTATTAATTTGCAATATAAAAACAATTTTAAATAATTCATTATTTTATTAACAAGCTGAATCAATTAAAATAGTTTATTATTTGATTTTAGCTGCAATGAAGAAAGAATATTGTTTATTCAATGAAATAATTAATAGAAAGATCAAAACAAAATAATTCGAAGTCTGTGTAACTATATCAATGAATTTAGTATTCATATAATTTATTTTATAATTGATGGACATTTTTTATATTTTTTCTATATATAAATAATTTTTACTAACTTATACAATTATTATTGAAATTAGGAACTATTTTAAAAATGCATTTTAACGGTATATATCTTTTATAAAAATTTATATATAAAAAATACTTGCCATTTCATTCGAAGGAATGTAAAAATCAGATACTGCAGCTGCCAAGTATAAAATAGCTCTATTTTCTAAAATAGTCAACGCTTGACAAGCACTTCTAAGAAGCCAAAGATATTCAGAAAGAGTAGTAAAACATATTTGCAGAAGTTTGTTATCTTTCAAAGTTTCTTTATATTTTCTTAAAATTTTTGATATTTTATTAACATATTGTGGTGCAACTATTCATAACAAAATATTTAATATTAGCTATTGAAATAAAGAAAAGTTACTATATCTATACCTGATATTGAAGTAACATCATTTATCATTGTTAAATTCATTATGTCTAAAAATTTATGTCCGGAAAAATGTCGAGAAAAAGGTTCTAACGACTTCAATCTGTAATTATACAATAAAATATGAAAATCATGTTTCTTGATTTTAGTTGAATTCAGTCAATTCGAGAAATAAAATATATTTTTATTACCTATGCATGAAAATAACTGCGTAACCATGATCTAAAAAGTACTCTGCTGAAATTGAACCTCGATTTCCTGCACTAAAATTGTCTACAAATCGCACTGTATTATGTTCTAACGGAACAGTTGTGCCACCACTCTAAGTAACAAATAAAATGTTGCATAATATTTAATTATGAGTAGTATTAAAAAATGTATTCAAGTAAATAATGAACTAACTGTTATTAAAACAATCTTATTGTTTTTCTCAATATGATGTTTTGCAAAATTGTTCAAGAGCTTTTCATTTTCATCAAGATTTGAAGGTCTTGGAGTTCTATCATAAAATTCTTCCCACAACAATGCCATTGTATTTTAATACAAAAATTAACAAACCTGTATTAAATTTTATTTACACATATATTAAAATGCTATAAGAAATTATGCAAGATATTAGAATAAACGATGAATCACAAATATACTTCATTTACACAAATATAGTTCATTTACGACATATATACAAATATACACAAATATAGTTCATTTACGACATATGATTGTAATTATAATTATTTAACGTATCAAATATGCAAATGAAATACTATTTTACTTTTTATAATGAACCATCCTGACTTGTTGTTGCCTAATATTATTAAAGTAAATAAATCCTGCCAATATTATATAAGAAAGAAAAATCATACTTAAATATTCTTACTGCTTGCACTCTGTTTAATAGCTTATATTTCGTTTCGAATATGCCAAAAAATGAAAGTGACAAAATTATTTCCACATAGTAAATAATTAATACCAGAAATAACGATATTTTATAGGTTGGAATAATCTTCACAATCCATCGATTAAAACATAAAATTAAGAGATAAAATTATTCGGTTCTATAAAATCTTGTATTACTCTTGAATTTTTGCAATTAAGCTAAGTATGCATATTTGAATATAAAGAAATTAATATATATATATATAT